GTATCACAGTATGGTCCTAAATATAAACAAGTTTAGCACATCAAGAACATTGTTTTTTATTTTTTTGATAAAAGTGTGAATGGAATTTGTAGATCTTTATGACAAATTAAAATAACATTTAAAACTCATTCACCTAGAGAACTTGGCATGTTGTTTTTATTTTTTTAATATATATAATTTTTTGATGGGGGTGATGTTAAACACAGAATCATCTTTGCTTTAATTTGGGGCAAACAAATGTTCTGTTAGAGTTAATGTGGTTCAATTAGAAGAACTCAGTGAATCTCACAGAAAGACTCAGCCTGCGCGCTCCTGTCACAGCGCTCTCTCAGGAGGACAGAGTTTAGTCACTGATGCAAAGTTGGACAGATCTGTTCGATAACGACGCTCTGAACATATATTTAATATAAAGTTAGGTTTTACAGACCAAAGTCTCTGGTAGTTCAGGAGCAAAGTGCAGGAGGAGATGTCAGGATTGACCGCTGCAGCCGCTGCTCGAGTCGAGCTGCAGCTTCAACCAAACAAGCTCTCACTGAAAGTCCCGCCCTGCTCTGCTTTGATTGGATAAAACAGCTCTGGACTTTGTCTGATTTGTTGAAGACAGTGTCTGTTTAATCCTTATATCAGGGTCCCGCTGTTAGAGGCTTTGTGAGCTCCAGTGCTGCTGGATTATTTTAGTTTTATTTTTTTTAAGAAATCCGGTCGCATTTGCGACTAAACTGGTCGCACTCTAGAGCCCTGCTAGCTGTTGTTTTGACAGACAATCTCAGGTACAATCTTAGGTACACAAGTGTGCTTTATGACATTCCATCTGGTGCGCTTTTTCTTTTTTGATCGCGCATGCACACCTGCGCACCGCTTATGTGCAACCCTGTTTATAACCTCTCTGTGAYGCTTCTAGCCCTCACCTGTCCCTCCTGGTCAAACCCCAGGATGTCGTTGCCCACGCTGCTGGTCCTGCCGCTCTCCATCTCATGCTTGTGCCTGAATAGTTTCTGCCGGGCAAAACCGCGGCCATTGTCCAGCTCCCCATGTGTCAACACTCCCAGCAGTGTACTCTTGCCAGCGTCCACGTTCCCCACCACTGCAACCCTGAAGGACAAGAGAAGTGGTGGGTGCTCCAGATGACCAAACAAACAGTTTTGGGAACCTGCTGAACTCAAACCGTAAATGAAATTTGCTCGCGAGCCGTCACCAGGACCGCMGAACTACTGACCTGACTTCTAGGAAGTCGAGCTCACCCACTCGCCTCCGGATCAGGAAGTCACGAACCAACCCGGCGGCCTCACTGCGCTCTCTCAGAGGAATGAGGTCAGTGTCCAGCTGCTCACACATAGAGCGCACTGTGGCTATTGAGGCCTCCATATCTTTCTCATCCAGACCCCAGTCACCACCATCTACCAAGGAGAAGATAAACAGCTGTCACAAACTGAATAAAGAGGATGAAAAAAAGATCAACTGGATGTAGCCTATACAATAATGAATGTTTGTCATTTTGTCATTCTTACCAGAACCCATTCCAACAACATAGATGGTCTCTCCAGAACCCTCCTCCATCCTGTCTCGAAGCTGTCGAAGTAACGAGTCATACTGCTCTCCATTTGGGCTAACAAGTGCCAACTATTTGTTTAAATGAAGGAGAAAACATAAAAAAATACATATAGGTGTGTTGTTTTAAAGGAGACCAAGTTGCCAAAGAGCTTTTCTGTACAGTACATGTTTTTGATACATCAAAAACAGGCCAGAGGAGAAAAAAAAGTGTTGGAACAGCAAGCTCAAACACTTATTTTGCTCAAGCACACAYAAAACAGATGTCCTCTTCCCACAAACGACTTCGCTAGTTATGTTTAATCATAATATCATCTCAGCTTTTACAGATCTAAAACTCTCCACTCTGCCAAGAAACTCGACAACTGACACAGATTTAGGTTGTTGACAAGAATGTTTTTGTTTTAGTAAAATACGAGTAAAGTATTGCTTCATCCATGCCTTTCAGTCATAACAGTGTTATTGCTGAGACTGTAAAACTTTGAAGTGAACTCACGGTGCTTCAGAAGAATCAGAATGTGATTTTCCTGAACCAGACAACAAATATAAGGGGTTATGTAAGGGTGGAAAACAACACAACACAAGTACAAATTATGTCTTTTTTTTTTTGCTACACTAATTAGGAGTTAAAAGTCAACAGGTCATTGCATCAGTGATGCAACACAGTGCAACATTTGAGTAGCTTACAAATACCTTTGTGGAGGTAGTTTGACACTTTCAGGAACTAAACTGGAGCTTATTATTACAGTCAACCACTTATGATTTCATCATGCACAATACGGTCTATTTTGTTAGTTTCCATCCTTTATCAGAAAGCAGGTACAGCAATTTAGCACAAAATCAGCCGTTCGTAGTGTTATTATTATCCGAAATGCGCTGATGAAACATATGGTGGTGCGCTGTGTTTCGACGTCAGGGTACGCGCTCAAGCATCAGCTGGAGCTAGCGTTAGCCGCAGCTAGGCTAAATAACGCAAAGCCCCTCAAAAACTGGGGTTGAATAAGAAAAAAATAAAYCATAGTAGTTGCATCATGAACTGAGATGCAGTGCTGGATAATTACAATGTAATATGCATGAGGCGCGTTCATATTTTCATTCATTCATTCGCTGCTTGAACATCCAGGCCTAGCTCTTTACCTTGCTACTGAAGTCAATACCACGATCCTCGGGCTCGCCGTTGATCACGTCCCCCTCATCGAAGAACTCGTCTCCGGCGTCTTCTCCGCATCCACCGCGGTCTGGAGCAAATATACTCGCCGGGAGCAAGGCGTCGGCCAACGCTACAGAGCTCGGGTTGATGCCTGGCTCATGCGCCGCTGCGATTGATGCCATTTCGCTGCCAACTCTGTGCAGTTTTAAATTTCAGGTTGTGCAAATTATTCTGACGACGGAGAAGCAAGCAACCGTACAACACACAGCGCTAACTGCGCGCTATGGTTTGCTAACTAGCATTAGCAACAAAACACACAAAGTAGTTAAAGAGCGTCTAATGTCATATTAACCATTTAAAAAGCAAGCCGGTCAAGCGCTATATGTTGCTTATTTTCAAGCTATTTAAAAACAGTTACCCCCAATCTCATAAATATTAAAATAAAGGCGTGAAGGGGCGTGTCCTTTACTTGTCCACGAATAATATCACGTTTCCTCCCAGAAGCGAACCAATAGGAGTGAGCGGGTTGTTCATATTATTAAAAGCGGATGTGATAATAAATGCTGTAATCACCTTGTAACATTCACCAACTACAACTGATGTAATGTAATACATCAGTAATGTAATGTCTTAAGAGGAGTAATGACTCCCACCTTTATGTACCTTTAGAATAAAAAATGATAGTTTGTGTGTTTACATGTTAGCAAGYTGTTCTTAGAATAACAGTGATACTTAAAAATGAGCTGTTATTGCCAAGTTTTGTCAAGTCTATAGAACAATTGAGTTGATTAGGGTGGATTAGTCAACCAAGATAGAAATCAAAATCTAAATCATCTTCGAACAACAATACTGAACTTTTTTTTGTGACTGCAAATAACATAAATGTTATCCACAGACTTCAGGAAAATATCAAACATAAAGGAAAAACAAGCAAATTGCAGCACCAACAATTATCTTTGAAACACCAATCAATGTCTGGTTACCTGAACGGAAACAAGAAGATATATATAGTTTATAAGCTGCCATGTTTAATTT